ACATTTATGAACAAAAGCTCTTTCAAATATAAGTGCTGGTTAAATTCAAGGCAGTGAGTGTCTCTTTCTCCAGCTAATAATTTAACCACTAGAGTTAAATACCAAAGGCGGCTATAAACAATTTCTACTTTAAAAATCAACCGTGAGATGCATCGGACTTAAGCCTCCTTGTACCGTTATCGGGACGCGTAGCGGCGGCGCTCGGCAGGGACAAAAACGCCCTTCAAAGAGCAGGGCACGGGGACTGGCAGGGAGGTGGGTCGCTCTGCGGCAGCGTTTCCAGAGCGTCTGAAGGACAGAGAGATCTCATTCAGATGCCACCTCAAAGGCCATTGATGAAAGCAAACACAGGATTTCTGTAGCCGAGGGGGCGGCTAGGATGTGGTCACATGCAAAGCAGCGAGGCGCCCGGGGCCTGACCGCGGGCGAAGGCAGGGGGACGACGCGGCCCCATCCCGAGCCCCGCTCCGTCCCTGCCTCTCACTGTTTCCACCGCTTACGAGACTGGAGGGCAGAGCTGGGGCGGCCGGCCTGCCAGCCTGCCTTTCTGGAGGACGGTGTGAGCCGGGAAGGGCCCTCCCACTCACCAGACAGTCCGGCCCACTGCCGCCTCTCCCCACGTTCGGCAGGTGACACATGAGGAGGGGGAAGACGTGTGCCCCGAGTCCCACTTCCAGAACGGACAGGGAGCCAGCCTGGGCGGTTGAGTTCCCTGGGCCCTGGTGATGTCACCCCACAGACCTGTCTGCCCCACAAGCCAGGAGCCTGAGTCACTCGCTGGCAGGCGGACTCACGGCAGTTTGAGGGCTGTGTGTGTCTCGGCAGAGAAGCAGCAGTCCCGCCTCACCTCAGCTCTTCTCCACGGGCTCGGCCCCTCCCTGCGGCTGCTGCCACGGCCTTGTAGGCCTCGCCGAGCGGGCATCGAAGAAGGGAGACTCGCCGGATCCACCGGCACCGAGTGTGTCCCCTGAGCCAGAGGCTCCTGGGTGGTGGGACAGAAGAGGAGCCGACACCACCCTGCCTGAGGATCCTGGGGTGCAGGGGGTAGTGTTTAGGGGACTCGGAGGAAAGGCGACGCAGTCCCTTCTCCCGTGAGCCCAGCACTACACGTGGGCAGCCCGACATCTGCCCGCTTCTGCGGCTCAGCGGCTGTGAACAGGGGACAGGGATATCGTGAGAACTGGGGGGGCACAGGAAGGCAGGCGACAACCTCACAGACCAGGTGATATTCAAGTCCACCCTTCAGTCAAGTGGACAAGGGGGAGGGCCTGGCCGACAGCACGGCCGGCTGGGTTTCCCTGTCCCTCAGCCAAGCAGGCCTCGCTCGACTCCAGAGTTTCCACTCCGAGCTGCTGGGGCCGAGTGCCCAGTCGGGTTTCATTCACAAACGCCCGGCCTGCCCAGGTGGGGAGCTGGACTGGGGCAAGGTCAGAAGTCACAAGCTGGCTGCCCCAACCTCCGCTGGGGCTTCTCCCTGGAGCACCTGCCCAGCAGACAGGACGAGGCCCCTGGAAGCAGGGCCTGCTGTCCCGGGGGTGGGGACCACGTCTGGAGCCCGCAGCAACCTGTTCCAAGCGCGGGCTGCCCACCCTCCCCGCGTCCGCCCCACTCCCGCTCAGATCTGCTTCTCTTCAAAACAGCCGGCTCCCCCTCCTCGTTTACAGATGGCCCAGGAGGGCCATTATCGCGATGTCTTCCTGTGCCTGTCCATGCACGACGGGACAGCTAACGCGCGGCGTTCGCCCCAGGAAGCCCTCTCTGCCACCACTGCCACTCTGCAGACGAGGGGACGCGGAGTGTCTTCACGGTTCTGCCGTAGCACAGCTGTCCGCCTGCCACCACCTCCACTGGCAACGCTTGGAGGGGACAAGAAGGACCCTTCTCAAACTGCGGCACACCCCAAGGCACCGGGAACAAGTCGACAGACACGGTAAATGGTCCTCACGAACTGAACACGTCATGGGACAACCGAGCATCAAAGATGAGAAGTGGGAGGGGAAGGACTAGCAGCTCCATCCCCCCCCACCCCCGGACCAAGAAGTCCCCCGATACCTGGGGGCAGAGGGGGTTTCTGGCAGCCCAGAGTCAGGAAGTCAGCTGCCTGACAAGCATGCATCTGATATGGCAGAACCAAGTGGGAGGGCACAGCTCACCACCCATGAGCCACCCCAGCTGGGGGACCTCAGCAGGAGAATAACTCAGCTCGTGTGAAACTGGGTGCGGTGTCCTCGGGTGCTTGACAGCCTGTCCCTCTCTCTCTTTTTCAGAAAGGAGTCTTGCCTTGTCTCTGGCTTCAGCCACTCAAGCGGTCTGTCCCAGGTGCCATGTGTGATGCAGCCCGCATGGGGACATGGCGGGGAGAAGACAGGTCTGCCCCTGCCCTCGGGGGGCTTACGGCCAGCCCAGCCCCCAGGACAGCAGTGGCACGGAGCTGGGGCGTTCCGGCTGTCGCCACATGGTTTAGATTTCTTCCCAAACTCAGGAGCTTTTTTGGTAAACATTTAAATGAGGCCCAGAAAGAGCTTAGTGGCAGAGTGTTACGATGCTACAGTGTTTATAAGGGATAATGAAGACACAGGGCTGGGTGCGGGTACGTCCGCCTCCCCACCAGAGGTGACTCCATGGGGGAGGAGGGGACAGTGGGCACACGAGGGAAGGCAGGGCCGAGGGACCAGCATGTGCAAACTCCGGGAATCCAAAAGGGTACTGCATATTTGGGAAGAGCTTTCAAACCAGAAACCTGGGTTGAGTTCCCAAATGACTTGTCTGTGTTCTGTGGTCTGCCTTTAATGAGATTCTGAACAATTCCCGGCTGAGAAGCTTTAAAAAGTAAAAAAAAAAAAAAAAAAACCAAAATAAACAAACGATGCCCTGGGCTCCAGCCCAGACCAAATCACGCCCCCTCTCAGGCACCCAGGCACTGCCCTGTTCAAAAAGCCCCACAGGTGAGACTATAGGGCCCTGCCGTCCAATGAGGCGGCCGCTGGCTACTGAGCACCCGAGTGTGTGAGCCCAAACCGATTGTGCTGCGTGTCCCACACACTTAGCAGGAGGAAGAGAACGTACGTAAACTGTCTCATTCGTAATTTGTAGAGTGATTACATGTTGAAATGGTTATATTTTGGAGACACTGGGCTAAAGAAAATATATGGTTTAAATGAATTTCACCTGTTTCTGTTTACATTTTAATGTGGCTACTAGGAAATCTAAAGTCACACACGTGGCTTGTACTGTTTCTATGGACGGTGCTGTCTGACGTGACCCGGGGCTGAGCAGTCCTGACTGCCCGTGAGGGCTAAGGTTTACGGGGTTTCGATTCCACAGAGGCGGCTGAAGGGACCTGTGAGGGCTTCTTCACCAGCTGCTCCCCCACCCTGCAGTTCCTTCCCCACCGGAAACCCCCAACACCTGGGCCGTCTCGCCTCTACCCGCTGGCCCCGGCCCACCGATGTGTGGCCCTGACCTGACGAGAAGCTTTTGGGCTCTATTTCCATATCCCACAAGGGAAACTGAGGCCGAGAGAAACAAAGGGCTCACAGACAAGGAAAAACAAAGACTGGAATTCAGCATCCCCGAGACTCCGATCTGCAGTCCTCATCCATGACAGGCCTCAGAGGTGGGTCTCCTCTCCTGAGGGAGGCCTGAAACGGTCCTCAGATTTTAAGCTTTTTGGGGGTGGGGAGGGAAGGGAGGAAGATGGCTAGCTGAGGATCTGCAGACCATGATACTACCTGTTTTGCATTTCGTGTGTATTAGTAACCTATGACCTCTATAACAAATCACCACAAACTCAGTGGCTTAAAACAACAGGAATTTATCATCCTATTGTTCTGGAGGTCAGAAGCCCAGAGTGGGCCTTACGGAGCTAAAGTCAAGGTGCCAGCAGGGCTGTGTCTCCTTCCCGAGGCGCTACGAGAGCATCCGTTTCCTTGTCTTCTCCAGCTTCTCGAGGACACCTGTGTCCTCCGCTAGCGGCCCGCCCCTTCCTCCGCCTTTCAGGCCAGCCATCGAATCTCCCCTGACTACTCGTCCCGCTGCCCTCTTCACCGTGTAAAGACCCCGTGATTACACTGGGCCCACCTGGCTGACCCAGGCTGCTATTTTAAGGTCAGCTGATGAGCATTTTCCTTCCAAGGACCATAACATATTCACATGCTGCAGGAATTAGGGCGGCCCACCACCCAGTATCCCTCTATACCTTAAAACAGCCCTAGGAGGTAGATGGAATCATCTCTTTTTACAGACGAGGAAACAGCTTCAGGAGCACAGGCCAGCCCTCGGCTCTACCTGCCTACAAGTGTTTTCCACCACACCACACCATCTTTTGAATGGTATAGGTCATGTTCAAGTTCAGAGTGAGGGAGTACTGTATTCCGTATTCGGAACACCACAGCAAAAAGCCAACACTATTCTGTCACCTCCATTTTGAAAAGCGGTTTTATCACCCAAGGGACTAAACTCATGGGGAAGAAAAGACCAGCTTTCTGGACACTCCTCCTAGGACTACACACACACACACACACACACACACACACGCACACACTCACACACTCACACACTCACACCACGCAACAATCACCAGTACCAGCTACCCTCCCTGAACACTCCTGACTGGGGAGGGAAGGGACCTTTGCAAAATAGGGTGTGTGGCAAGAAAACTAACATGTAAGCATTCTCCCCGCTCCCCACCCGGAGCCCACGAGGAAAGGCGAGGCTGGCGGATCCTGAGGACTTAGGAGACATGTGAGCAGCATCCTCAGCTCTCTGGGTCCTTTCCGCCAATGGGGCCTGGCTGGCAGCTCACTGGATATTTCTGGGAGTGATCTAATTAAATATTAACCGTGCACAAAACCGTATTCCTACATCCCTAAGTCACTCTGAAGACAAGCAAACCCAGGCACTGAACCCAAACTCCATCTTTCTAGAAAAAAGGGCCCTGGGATGGGTTAATGCTATGAGACTGACCTATCAGAAAGTTATTCATTATAAGTAACCTTCAACCTCTGAGAAAAAAGCAACATGCAAAAACAAAACGCCTTCCTGTTTACCAAACCAACCACCAGAATGCATGGACCTGTATCAGAGACTCTTTCTCTTGGCCGCTAAAAGCTTCTCTCGATTTATAACTCCAGTAAGATCAAAGAACTAGGCCCTTTAAATTTCCTCTTAGTAGCATTCAGACCTCCTTACACCTCTTCACAAACAAGGAGAAAAAAATCTAAAAGTCTATGAATGAATAAAGCTTCTGACAACACCCAGATTCTCTCTGCCAACTAAATTTTCTCCCCATCCTTCTGCAAGTTCCTGGCACAATCGATTGTGTATTAATGACCTTAAAATAAATGCCACATTTGTGTTTATGAGGGGCTATTTGGGTGGAAAAAACACCATAGGCCAGATGATGATGATGATGATGATGATCACAAAGAAATTAATTCATGGCCAAGTTGGTTCTAGCACTTGGCTTTCATAAAGCCTTGCTATCCCAAGGTTTTACTATCGTTTTCACAGTTAAACACAGCGCAAAGGTTGCAGGTCAGTCCCCTTGAATTCTTATTTCAAAACGGTGGCCGTTTTAAACAGTGTGTACTAACTTGTTTTGAAAGCAACCGCAAAAGACACTGCTGTCTTCAGGGAGGGCTGGGAAGGAACCTGCTAATGGCAGCCACAAATGTCACCATCCAGCCTCAGACGGGCGGGAGGGGTCCTTTTGGCTTCCTTCATTTCGAAAGTAAAATTTTTCGGCTATTTCAGTCTTGGCTGGTTTATTTCGGCAAAAAAACAAGCATGCTCTCCTCTCCCCGGGGCATAAGAACACCTCAGTGTTTGTAAAAGAATAAGGAACGGAAAACCAGAAGCACAGCAACACC